GGCATGACCTCCAAGTCGGGCTGCTGCAGTGCATTTGAGCAGAAGGTGGGTGATGCGTGTTTCTCTCAGTCAACTTTGACTGACATTAACACCGCCAATATTCGCTAACATTGGTTGAGCTATTTTATGGTCGATAATTATTACCATATTAAATAATAGTATTTCATTCTAAACCTTATAAGCTGTAATCAAATATGGAAGTTGGCATAGTGCGACACTTGAGCTTTCAATCAAATATGCTTCTCATTATAGCCATTGTTTTATTAATACGTTTACAACTCATAAGTCAAGCAACCATCTAAAAAATCAAACTCTTTTACTTGATTTTGTTATGGCTGAAATTTCGACTGACTTTACCACATTGCGTCTCCGTAAATGCTTTCCTGTTACAAACTATGCTAACGGCTTGGCTCAGTGTAGAAATGCAGTCCGCTCTTCTCGTCTCATTAGCATCACCAACTAAAAGGTGTTTTATGAGCAATAGGTGTGCCGTGAAATGGCCGAGAAATGATGATAAAGTTTATTTTTAGAGTCTCCTCGTATATTCCCAACTAAGACTCATTAGCTTTATGGAATGAACAGGAATGCCTCACTTTTACGGTTGACATAGAGAGCAATGCATAATTAAAACGTTCAGACTAAAGAGCGCCTAATTGTGGGATGAGTAGCAGGTAAGCTGCTCAAATCCCTTTCTTCCACAATTCAATGAGCTTATTTTTTGAAAGAGCTAATGATTTCCGATTTTTTTGTAGGACGCATATCGCACTTTCACATGTATATGGGGACTATCTCTTAGTCAAGAGTTACATTCTATAGAATAAAGGGAGTTCCCTAACCGTTTCCAATGACCCGGTAGGTTTTAAACCGCCCTATACTATCGGCTTTGGTGATACTTTACAAAAAACGATAAAAACTTAAGATGGCATTTACAAGACCAAGTGAGGATTTTAATAACTCGGCGTCCTCTCCCGAGGAATCATTATAGTTGGAGCCCACAAAATCAGTTGGCTGAGCATATCCTAGAGAAAAGGGGGTAATGGGATCTCGTAAGACAATACATACTTCATTTTCACATGACTTTAATCATCATTAATGCAGGGGAATAGGAAGTAGATAGGACCAGGAGCTAGGAACAATCAACTCTACATGACCATACAAGCTAGAGCCATCCGGCTTTCAAAGTTTCAAATTTGCATGGGCGCGGGTCACATTCGGTCGTCCATTACTTAATGCGGCCTATTTATTCAAGCTAACTGGAGCATCGTCCGCCCATTCAATTGATAGCCTTTCCTTGCATACCCTGGTAGATGAATTGGGCACATCCATGCTCGCAATCCCATCTTACCATTTAAAATAAAATAAATATATCTAGCTATGTGGTCAAGAGGATACGAAGTGAGGTAAGGAGGGAGTGTATGGACAAAAGAAGGCATCAGCGACCGGACGTGGTAGTATATGACTCTAATTTAGAGTCACGGAGGCCAGGTGGCGGAAGCTTGTGTAGATGGGGCGAGATTGACCCTCCAGCAATACGCGTGGATCGGCTGTAGTTGCGCTGAGTGGTCAGAGTTATTCTGCTTGGGTCGATGTCTCGGTAGCCGTACTCAGAGGTGGCATTAGATTGCCCTAGGAATCATCTGTAGTGTTTTTCTGGGACTGAGTGGCTATCAGTTCCACTGAACGGGTCAGTTCAGTTCGTACAACTAATGGCATCTTTTCTCAACGCATTATTTTCATCTCTACCTACCACCACAGAATAGAAATTTTTATATTCATTTGCCTAGATAGCTTGCAGGTAGAATAAGCTCACCGATCGCTTGTAAGACTTTACATTGCCTACTGCTTCACTCTAAATGGCATCAACGGTCATTTTATCAACACATTAGTTAACAGAGTCCCAAGAAAAATTAACCAACTCAACTTTGATATTCTTCTCATTCCAATTTGATGCTGATCACTTGTGATTTTTGCAAAACGCATCTTTGTTTTCGCACCAACGTATCCCGTGGATCCATATGTACATTGGCTCAGTTTGTGCAGCGACTTTTGACCCAATTTCACCCTCTCTTTAGCTATCACCACCACAACACTCGCCAACATTCATGCTGTCTTCACCCCATCTAAGTGAGTTGATGCGGCTTCATAACTCATGACTCTGAACATTTCATAGCATTTCCACAGGAATCACTTTAACTCTTCCACAACCTCTTTTGCGGAGTCAACGGGGAAATAATCGGAGGACGTAACTTTATTCGTGGGAATACATAATCGGCTTTGATATAATCGTTCGACTCAATGGACAATTATGTGGTGATCATCACTCTGCCAAATTTACTCTTTGGACGCATCCACGCGCACCGCTCGTTCGGAAGGCATTGACACGCTTCAGCAACTAGCCGGCCGACTCTTAGTCATTCATATTTGTGTACACAAGCCCTGGTTACAACATGTGAGTGCAACCCCAGGGCACAATTAAGGCACCCTTTGATAAGACCACGTCCTTACCGAGAGCCTAAAACTTTCTCTCTGGTCGTCCACTGTAAAGCTGAAACGGCTACTCTACCTGCTGCTGTTGTAAACTATCCACCACAACTCCAATTGAAATACTAAACAATCGTGGGTAAAAAATCATATTTTGTTATTGGCTATTAAGAATCTAGTTAGACTGCTTTACAAAGTTTGCTTCCAATTTCATCGTATCAAAATAAGCGTACTCTAATACCACTGTAAAAAAGAAGATAGCTAATGAAGAATATGCCCCTTCCCAAAAAGCACAGAAGATTAAAACTAACTATGCACTAGAATTCAATTTCAGTATTCTGATTCAACCATAGTTTCACATAATCCGGAACATTCTTTATTTTACTGCTAAATGCGTAGGAGGACGCGACTAGCCACCTTGTTTACTTCTAAGTATTGCCCATCACCCTACTATACCCATCCTCCATTGCAGTCTCTTCCATCCAGCTGGTTACATTGTCGCTAAAATGCGACAACAGAAAGGGCCTATCATCAGTGGTAGAAAACAACGTATGATACTCCAAGGTCTTCGAGGCACCCAACATAGTAGTCTCAACTGCAGTTATTACAAGCCTTTACCGTAACAACACCGGGTGTTTTGAAAAAAGGAGTACAAAGCCAATTTCCAGGGAAGCATCATTTTCTGATAAAGTCACTAAAATTTATATAGGTGAATAAGGGTAGGTTTCGGTGGTTGTGGAGGTATAATCACTGTGCAATGTTAACCGTTATTTTTAATTCCCATTTTTAGTAACGAGCCACTTAGGGGCTCGTCTATTGCACCTCCGGACTATGCCAGTACCTCCAATCCCTTGTGTATTGTCTTCTTTTACCTTCGGGGAAGTCTCAGGCGCTACATTCACTTTTAACCGGTTACGTAAATTGTGTATTGACTCTCAGACACGGTACAGGTTATCGGCAATAGATCCCATGCCTAGAATGCACGCTTTGTTATCTTTAAAATACGCAACCAAAAATTTCTACTCCTTACCACTTATTTTAAAGCATGCACCTAAAATTGTAATGGACACTCTTCCTTGTTATTTATTTTTTTAAAGATGTGCTGGATAAAGTCTCTAATTCTCTAAACATTGCGACCTACAGAAAGGTAGAGTCAAGAAGGTACATTAGGCTTTGTTGGAATACTAAAAGATGCGGGTTCTGGAGGTCCTGACGGTCGAGTCCACATCATTAGACTTCAAAAAAGAAATACCATTTAGCCTCATGTGTAACCATGTCTTTCTAAATAGTGAGTAAATGACTTCCCAGCGTTTCTTCTGATCTTACAGTCACTTCTCTCAACTCAAATAAAAGTGACAAAGGTGTTGGTAGGCATTTATGACACTCACCATACGTGATTCTGTTGATAAAAGCTGATTGCAAATCTTGCTGACCTAAAATTATGCAAAATTGTTTCGCGCTTTGGGGTAAGTACTTTAAATTTCACTGATTTTATCGAGTAACGGACGCCACGGTTGGATTAAGAAGCTTAGTTGTAAGTCTGCAAAGCACAACTTGCACCAAAATGCTTAGTTTATTTTGTAAATTGGAGATTTTGCTGTTTGAAATCCGGTGGTTTGTTTGAACTGTCCCGCAAAAACTCCGCTTCAGACGATTCAAATTGGCTTCGCCTTGTTTCCTTTTTTGCATATTTTGAAAATATGTCTGCCGGAGGAGGTTACAATTATTCATACATTTTTAAGTACATAATTGTTGGCGAAATGGGCGTTGGTAAAAGCTGCCTGATGCACCAGTTTACGGAAAAGAAGTGTAGGCTTCGCTGGATCAAATAACTCCTTAATGTAGTCTTTCCCGATTGTCCTCATACAATTGGTGTCGAATTTGGAACTCGTATAATTGAGGTAAACGAGCAAAAGGTAAAGCTTCAGATATGGGATACTGCGGGACAGGAGCGGTTCCGGTCTGTAACGAGGTCGTACTATCGCGGAGCTGCGGGTACCCTCCTAGTCTATGATATAACCCGTCGATCAACATTCCAACGTATTCAAAATTGGCTTAGTGACGCTCGAAGATTGACTTCGGCCAACACTGTAATGATGATGATAGGGAATAAGTCAGATTTGGAGGAACAACGTGATGTTTCGTATGAGGATGCGAAGGCATTAGCAGACGAAAATAATCTTATGTTTCTGGAATGCAGCGCCAAGTCGTAAGCAGTTGCACATCTTTAACTCTTATTTACGTACAAGAAGTGCTGTATCTTGTGTTATTATTTGTTACTTCCGTTTGATATTCTCTATAGACGCACAGTAAAACCTGTTAGATTTTTTCCATTTCGCGAATACAACGTTATGTACCGGCTTGTTTCTACTAGTTTTATTTTAGATGTGTAGCTTATAGTACTATTATTTTGTGAGTATACCCGGAATCGCTACTAACTGCTGCTGATTTTAATTGACTTTGAAGTATTTTCACTGCGCGTATTTTGTAGATTTGCTCATTTTCATGTTTTCGGTCTTATCGCCTAACTATTTATGCTTGTAATGGTATATTAAATGCGTGCCAATTCATTTATGCTCAGCATCAACTATTACATGTCTTCAGTTGAATCCATGTCGGCTTTACTGAACCCTGTATTTCCCGATTTACATCCATGTTTTGCTTTTTTAAAATTTGAAGCTCACATTCCTTGTAGACGGCATGCAATAATTGATACGGTTTAGTCAATTTACTGTGGTTGGTAGTGCCAAATGTTTATTTTCTAAGTTTTACTTTAACTCATTCGGGTGGTTGTTCGTTAACATCCCGACGAAGCCTTTATCACTGGTTCTTTTTCCTGTTTTTGTCCCCAACTATATATAAGATGAATTAACAATCTTCTTTATCCGTATTTCCTTTCTATTAACCGCATCAGAGACAAGTTAGTATGGGCTTACCCAGTTTCCCTACATCACTTCAATTTCACAACCTTATTGCTCGCGTGCAGAGGTATAGAGATCAATGCTGTCATGGCATTGCAATACCAGTTCATTGCATCTGACCAGCACAATTGTCTCCGTGGTATCTTGTCACTGGCATATTTGTTTTCTTTCAACTTCTAGTGGTGAAAATGTTGAAGCCGCGTTTCTGGAAACGGCGAGGAAAATTTATCAGAATGTTCAAGAGGGGAGGTATGTGTGTGATTTCTGTTTTTCATTTCAATTTGAAGTAACTTTTTCTGGTACCAAAATAAGAGCATATTTATGGCCACTGTTTTGCTGGAAGCCAAAAACCGTGCAATTTACTGATAATTGAATCCCCTATTCATTTTGTTTGTTATCATTTTTTTACAATGGTTATGCCATACTTACCCAATCCAAAGGTTTTTTTGGCTATTCGTTTCCTTCCATCGCCATTGAAACCGACACGCCACGTTTACCCACCGAATACTCCTTGAATGTTGTCGCTCCCTTCCTAGCGCATATTTTTTGGGCACGCGTAAATGTGGAGGTACCGCTATGCATTATGAGCTTATCTATAGATTAAGAGGAGTGCATAGCTTCACTCATTTCCTTATTCGTTCACTGTGCTAGCGGCTGATCGCGTCCTGGCGTCTGACCTTCTTGTGTCACTGCTGCTGTCACTGTGTGCCCATTGCCGTTGTATCTACTTCATTACTTAAGCAAAGAACTTTCACACGAATATGTGTGAGTTCAGCCACCTGCTATTTTGCTTCCTCTGATCGTATGCATAGTTTGGTGAGGGTTGAATGTTTTACTCTGAGAAAGCTCAATGTGTCAGTGAAATATGCGCATCAAATGGATACACAATTCCAAATGGTTTGTATGCATATTTTCCCATATAAGCTTGCATCTTTTTTGTTCTTAAAACGCATTGGCTTAACATGAGAGCACAAGCTGAAGCACCCCTTTTTGTAAACCACATAGGTGAATGTTGTTATGTATCTTTCCCAAAATGTGCATGCCATACCGGAAACATTCATTTGAGTTACGCTTAACGGATGGACTAGCATTCAGAGGCTTGGCGTTTTCTGTCAGTTTACCCAGGTCAAAATGCCTTTTTCTTTTTTGATACGGCACCCTTACGTGCACTTTCTGTTAGGCCACAATTAGTCCCCAAGTTCATGAATTTGCACGTTTTCTCGTTTCTTTTTCATTCCTTAAAATTATGCGTGTGGGAATGCGTTTAACACATTTTCAAAAATGTAGTTAAGCTTATTTTCTGCTTTTTGAATTAATGTTTAGTCGTTTGCCCTAGTCGGTGATGTTTTACCCCATTTGTTTTTGTCAAAAAATGGTTTTGGGGGCTGTATTTAATGCCTAGAATTTCTTCACCCAGAGCCAAGAACTCTTTAGACATCGAGAGTGTAAATAGTATTGTGCAACTTTCAAAGAAGCGATTGCGACGCATGTTCTTGGCCCGAAACGATTGGCCTCCTTTTGAACACTGCAATCGCACACTATTTTCTCATGCATTAGCGGCAATTGCGAGGTTTGTTCTTTGCTCAAGTCGCAGCACAGATCAAGAGCACACAGAGCTCTCGCATCGCAGTCTGCCGTTCGTTGCGCGTGTTTTGCAGCCAAATCCTGACCTGCCACAGCTTGAGAAGGCTAGCCACTCCCGAGCGGTGGTATTTTTCACATTCCTGCGCACAGGCGCGCACGCGTACTTGCTTTGTGTAGCATCTCTCAGTTGTGTAGCGGCAGGCTTAACGGTGGTACCAGCTAGCGGAACTACTTTCTTCTATAGCACTTTTTTGCTAATACGTGCTGTGTATGTGCGTGCACACAGTCCTACGGGTTTCATTTAGTCCACTTGAAATGCATACATATGTGGACTTATGGGACGTCGTGGGTCTATGCCTATGGCTTTGCTGACATGATTCACCGCTATGGTGCGTCATAGCTGATGCCTAATTTTGCAAAGTGAACACTCTCTCTCTGGCCCAGACAATGCCCCTTTCGACCGGGTTAGTGTACCTTAATGCTGGTGCTTTCTCTAAGATTTGCTGACCTCATTTGACTTATATTTTACAAAATTCAGGTATTCTGATACAACTTCAAGTAGCCTTTGCCGATTACAAACAAAACGGATGAGTTTTACTTCAGTAGACACAGTGTTTTTGACATATGTCATGGAAGCAGTCTCCTTTTATCGGTAGTTTCAACGAGTCGTTAGGATTGAGATGACTGTGATACCATATAATCTGATAGCATTTTAACATATGATTTCCATTCTAGGCAGAGCAAAACAACAACTGAGTTTTTGTCGAGAATGCGAATTTTGCATGACGCGCCAATCCGATTTCTGGAAACGTTCTGTTATAGGGGTTTCACTCTTGAAGTATGCCTTGCGAATGGCCTGAGCAGAGAGAGCAGGACTAGTTGGTCGAAAGCTATAATATGTACGAACATGTGGATCTCGACTTAGCAGTATAAGTTGGGATTGCTATTCTTTACTTTATCACTTGTGACAAATAAGAATCTTGATCAATCTGCACAGATACCGCATAGGTTGAACAAAATGTAGTCTTTTCTCTGCTGCAATGTAGGTTAGAAATGCTTACTTAATGGGATAGTTAAATGTGATTAGAAAGTGGATTCGTAACAGCTTTCTAGTGTATTGCTTAGGTAGAGATAAATTATCGAAGAATATGTGCCAAAAATGTTTGCATCTGTTTGAGAATGTAGTACTGACTTCGGTTATTGCATCATCATGCGGACTGATTAATTAGTTGGAGTGGGTGGGTATCTTTTTATCTTTACCAATTAAGCAAAATGGATAAGAGAAGAGCCTCCAATTAAGCATCGAAGATTGATTTATGGAGTCAGGTCAATTCTTGGAAGACCTCAATGGGTCGACCACGTGTCGCTATAGCAACGCTGTTTAAAAACCGCGCGAGCTTGATTTTGAAACTTTCGGCCACGAGCTTGCGGCATTTGATCGCTTCTGCGCAAAACGCTTCATTTACTTTCGGCACTTTCCTGTAGCCATAATTGCCCGTGGGCATATATATAAGTCACCGATCGTTTGACTTTATTCTTCATTCAAACAAATTTCGATAAGGTGAACTTTGAGTTAATGGTGTAATTTACTTCAATCACTTGATCTAATTCACCCTCGCGTTAGCTTTATTTAATGCTAGTCATTTGAAATTGAGTTGGTTGGACAGGTCTAAACTTCCGATGTATCTTCCCTTACTTGTGTCTCCACTCTGCTTATTTTACCATCTGATAATGTTCAAAACTCATCGACTCTCAAAAACAGTCCGGTTAAAAGCAAAAACATTCAATCTAAGTTTTTTTGCCTCCAGATTGTGCAGTTCCGTTTGCTCCTGCGAGCTCCTGATGCGTCTTGCCTACAAACTTAATTAGTGCTTTGTGAACTCTTTACCAGGCATTGAAATAAGGATTTTGTGGAAATAAAAATTCCTTTAGATAATAAATGGCATCAAATTAAACTTCTTTGAGTGAAACACTACTGAATGCGTGCGGTCAGGTCTCACAGTATCCCCGACTGCTCTCCTGCATGCGTGGTTTTTGTTCTTCATTGCTCACCCTTAGCTGTAACAAGGCATAGACAGCCACAAAATGAAGAAAGCAGTAATAGTTAGGAAGGGCGACAAACTGTCTCACTGACTAGGAAGTTTACTTACTGGTCATTTATTCGTGGTGTTCATCCAAATTGAGCGGTGTATGCTCGTGGCTTGGCTTATCCACGCGAAAATGCAGTCTTTCTACCTCCCGTGTATAATCAAGACCTGACGAACAGTGGACAATTTTCATCGCTTTGCTTTAGGGTCTATGCTTTGAAAAGATATTCATGGGACACGATTTGGATAAGTTCCAAGCAATTTTTTTACGTCGTATCCTTTAAGGTTATAGTATTTCACTTTTTTTACGCCCTTCTCACTCGTTTCCTCCACCCTTTCGTGTCCTTCATATTCCAATTAAGTGCAACCTTTTATTTTCGGTATAGAATAGCTTTGATGTGACTTCCGTTGAATATTTTACTTTAAAATACGGCTTTTGCGTGTATCTCCAGAAGGTAAGAAATACATTTAATAAATTATAGGATTATTGGTAAACACAATTTCTTTTGGATTCTTGAGCCATTTCAAAACACCAAATTACCTTTCCGTTGTTCATTTAGACAAGTCCATCATCGTTTACAAGCCGTGTAGTCATAATCCCCATGACAAAAGTTTAAGGGAACCCCACATTCTTTTTTGAATTTATGATCTTAGGTTTACACCGTCTGATTTCCTTTGAGAAAAATGGTTTCTTTTGGGAATCCTTTACTATTGCTCATCCTCTTCGGGTTGTGTGGGTAGGTGAAAAAAAAAACGTTTTTCTCATTACTCTGATTCACCACCCTGTTTTGTTTGCTTCCGCTCTTTTTATTTTTATTTCATCGGAATATGGACACTTGGTTTTCTTTCCCATTAGCAAAAGGATCGATAAATGTTTTTACCTAGTAATACTATTTGGTTTAGTTTTTCCAGCTTCTGGGTTATTTCTGACAATTTTTTATAAATACAACTACTTTTTGGTTATTTACCTAGGTCTGTTAAGTAGGTAGCTAAAACAAGCCCAAAAGCATAAGGTCTTGGACAATATCAGTGTAGTAGCGCCGAAAAGCTGTAGTCTAACAGCGTGGATGACAGGGTTAAAGATATGCGAATCCGATTTGAATCCCGCTATGCAGCAGATCGTGTATAGTCCGCAAAAGCATGAAGTAGCGTGTTAAATATTACTTGCGAACTGATGCAGTGCTAACCACGCCTGTTCCCACTGCCAGTGTGAACCTTAACAGTGCGGAGGGTGGTGTGTTGAACAAAAACGCCTTCCAGGTGGGCGCTTCGGCCCAGTCGACGATGGGGACCGGAGGGAACGCATCTTCGATCGGTGGCTCCGACGGTTGCTCCTGCTGACTGTATTCCTCCTCTTTCCTCTCCTCTCAGCCCCCCTCTCTATACATAGCCCACAACCCTCCCTCTATCCTGCGTGTGGCCCAATATCGTGGCAGTTTTACCGGCATCTGGCCCTCCTCTCGTCCGCTTATTCTTTTACTTTCGTGCTTATGATCATGGTATCTCTTTCCTCTGACGAACGAAGGTGTGCTACCGTACATTTGGTGTGTGTAATAATTGGTGGCCGCAAATATGCACTTCCGGTGTGGGAGACTGAGCTTCAGTTAATTTTCATGCGAAATCCTAATTTAGCTAAGCCTCTATCGGGGCTCGTGTCATTGAAGCTGGAGATCTAGCAAGTCCGCTCGGATCACGGCCTTAGGGTGCCAGGCTAAAAGTATTTGCTGGGATTTTATTGTTTGTTTTAAACATACTTTAGCCCGTTTTGGATTCCAATATGGCTCAATGTACTAATCCATCTGTGGACATGGTGTCTCAATGTGCTTGATCATGCTAAGCTCCTTATCCTCCTACTTAATTCTATAAATCAGCAGCACAATTCCGGTTCAATTTGGAAGTTATTAGAAGAAAGTAGCGATCTGAAAGATTAAGAACAATCCGGAGGAGTTGGCACAGCAAGCTTGGGTGTTGGAACAGCATCACATGAAATGTTAGACCCTCTCACAAGTGGTTGTGCAGGTCGCAACGGCGTGGAGACATCTCTCCCTGCGTCTTCTTTCCCAGCCAAGGTAAACTACTGCTTGAAGTCTACTCGCTTTGAAATATCTTCGGACTGCAGGAGAGGAGGGAATTCAAAGCCCGGAATGTGCCTGATATTTTGCACTTTTTATCATGTAGAGTAAGGTTGTTAATATTAATGACACGTAATGAAAACGATTGAACAAGAGATGGTGGGTTCATATTTTGGCCTTCAGCGCAATCTCCGTGTTTAGATATTTTTGTTAACGATAAAATTATTCAACTAATTTGCTCCGATGCGCAATCGGTAAGGAAAGTTAACAGCTAGACGCGATTTTCAGTCAAGGGAACGGATATTGTTTGCGCGAAGCCACATTTGATGAACATGAGCCTAGGAATTCACCTGAAGCCGTTTATTTGACCATCAAATTATCCCTTGCCAAAATTGTCTTTGTGAGAAGTTACTAGCATCAGGATTCCTTTTTTAAGGCGCTTCAAGTGATACACCGGAGTAAGGCTTGGTTTTCACAATCTGACTTAGGAAAGAATCAATGGAAATGAATTTGCACCAGTAGAAGAAAGGAGCCTCATTGGCTGAATTCTAGGTTAAGAATTGCGTTACGGCTTTGCTTTTGACATCAAAATCACTGTTGCAAAATCGTCATAATTAAACAACGGTGGTCATTATGAAGAGGTTGCAGTTGTTGT